GGGGAAAAAGAAACCATACAAACCCGTCGATGATTTGCGAAGACTGCCTACTGATTTTGAGTGGTAGCTGATTACAATTCAATGAAATCGACGCTGAATTGAAGCCTCTTTTCATCAATATCACCTCGGCTCTAGTGACACCACCCACATCATCATCAAAAGGATTTGCTGTCATGCCATTTCATATTACCGGATAAACCTTTGGGAATGTGTTCTCGCATTCGTCTTCCATTTCGATTCGCATTAGAATTTGGAAGCATGCGCAGCCCATACAACGTCCTAAGGTGACCAGCCGTTGAAGAACTTAGTGCTTTTATCCTCTCCGACGAGCCTGGTACCAATTGATCGAACCATTCTAGAACTGTCAGCCTTTTCCAATAACGCAGTAATTTTATTTGTGCCTACCGGTCACCGCAAACACTATACCACATCTAACTGGCACATGAAAATGATTTAATCGTCACAGAAATTAATGAAGTCAAAAAATAGATCAGATGAACAACTGAGAAAGCTCCATTCAAGGTGCGCTTATAGTCAATGTTCTACCCAACTCAAACTATCCAGCCCAAGTCATTGAAAAGGTGAGTTGAGCTGACATCGCAAAAAACTTTTCTCGGTTTCGTGTAGAATCTTTTCTTTGAACATGGGTAACCAACCATGAGAGGGGAATTATTCTGGGGCTAGGACAGTGTAGGAAAGGGTTCGCAATAAGTCACATCCAACAGGACGCATGACTTTCGAAAAAAAAAGATTCATCCAAAGAATTACTCTTCTCACTGCTAGAGCAAAGGAGCTTCCAAACAATTCGGGAGCGGCGGATGGTCCCTGACAATCCTTCTCACATTTCAGGTTAAGGCAGCTTTTAAGAAGTCCTTTAAGTATCACACTGTCACTGTCCAGCACGTCGAAGGGACGAGNAACTACGTGAGTAATACCAGCAGTCTTTGTTGGTCCAAATGGTGTCCGAGACGAGGGCGCTAACTGGTGGTCCATTTCAGATACTCAGCTTCACCCAGTTCGAACACAAAGGGCTCTACAATAAACTTCCCAACCTTCCCGATTCTCCGAATTAATCTCTCCACATTACTTCAATCCTAATCTCTTGCTGACTTCAAAACTCATCGAAAGCATTTGAATTTTTCGTTACATACATACTTAATGAAGTTTTTCGATATTCATCTAGAACTCACATTAGTTGAACGTCCTTTGCTTGATTTCCATAGCCATTGGGATGCGTCCCTTGGGAAAACTGACTGGGAGCGGGAAAAACTTGAAGCGAACCGACTGACGTCCGTGCGTCGGGAAGCTGGCCATATCTGAAAAATCAAAAGTCACATTTAAAATAGCCGAATACAAGATTTAAACAAATTTGGCATTCGAAGCGTGTAAGAAAGGAGAAAGACGAAAAAAAGACAAAAAAAATGTAAAAGAGGTGGCACCGCAGCCGTCGTCCGGGTGGCAGCGAATCAATGGTGATGGGCGGCTCGATTCCTGATTTGCACTTATGACCCACATTGCACAACCTGATCTACAATTCTACAATTACCATTTTAAATTTACCTTTTAATAGTTGAGTAAAATGATGCGACATGATTTGATAGCTTTCTTTGAACTCGGTCGCGGGTACTGGCTTCGAACAGTCCTTGCCGTGACGTGGAAGAAACCAAAACAAATACACATGGGCACATCTCCATCAAATCGAGTCGACGGTAGGTTTTACGTTTTCTTTACAACTGGAGTTTGACGGAAATTATATTCTGGGGCTTCATTGAGTGCAAGCCTCAATTTATATGTAAAGGATCTGTTGCAAAGACGAGCGGTCCTTATACTGCACCCATCACTGAATTCCGGACCTCACCTAGGCTAATTTAGCTATTCTTGTTCTGAAAAATATCAGGAAGACTGATCTATGAGATCCTTTAGCACTTCAAATTTGTCCTACCGAGCGAGCCTACTCCAAATTTCAATATTCCTGAAGGTATCTCTATCAGGTATGTGAAGGTCTACCGTA